CAGAACCTAGGCATAAATACGGACAATTTTCCCTGTATCTTTGGGTCTTCATTCTGAAGGCTCCTGTGTCACATAAAACTGTGACATAATAAAACTTGTTATTATCAGGTGATTTTTCAGAGAACCTTCAGGGGGTTGAAGGGATGTCTTCCCTTGGCCCCTACAAAAGCGTTTGGCAAGATTGACAACGGAAACACTTTTTCATCCCTTTGGACCTGTCACTTGCATTTTGGGGGGATTTCTCCCACCTCTCTGACAGTTCTTCTCCACGTTTCTCCAGCTTGTCTTCAGTGTTGTCACTGCTCAGCCTCCTCTCCACTTCTAGTATTCCTTTGAGTGGTCTCATGCGGTGATGTGCTGGAAAGTATTTAACTTGGTCTCTGGGAGAAGGGAAGACTGAGGTATGATTTTTGCTGATTTCTGTGGTATAAATACACCCACCACAGCCAGTTTCAAACTGCCAGCAGTTTAGCAACTGGTTCACATTTCTCAGAATTTAACATTTGGCTCTCACAAGCCAGTATGAGCCGGCACAGGCTGACACCAGCACACCTCTGTTTTCGTGTCAGAGATAAGAGACTTATTTTTGCACAAAAGGTGAAATAAAAAACACCTGCAGACACTCCTTTTTTTTTTTCTGACAGACTGATCCGGAAATGGAATAGCTGCAGCTGCTTTTATGCGTTCTTTTGTTATTTCCGTGTCATCGTGGTAGTGGTTTTTTTTTTTTTTTAATTTTCCTTTCTTTTTCCTGTGGATGATTGAAATACCATAGCTTTGATCAATTTTGTTTTTATGGCATGTTTTGCAGCTGTATTAAATCTGGTTTTTGTCAGAGGGCATCAATATTGTATTCTCAAAACAAGAAAATATTCCATTGCAAAGGACACAAACAAAAGTCCTTAATAGCAAAACTTTGAAACATGTGATTTCTTTACTTGGCAGCAGCCACAGCATTAGGTTTTAATTTTGTTCAGAAAATGGTCTTTGACCTCCACTTGACCTTTCATCAGGCTGGCCTCACTTGTTCATTCACTTAACAAATATTTATTAAGCACCAGCTGCATGCCAGGCACTTGTCTAGGTGCTGGGGAGATTCTGATAAGGCAGACAGACAAGGTCGCCACTCTCAGGGAGCCTGTGTCAGGAATGGGGGTTGGGATAGACAGTAAACCACATGAGGAAGCTAAGTTCAGACAGTGCTGGATGGTGTGAAGAAAATAAAGGCAGGGTAATGTGATGGCGAGTGCGTGGGGTAGTATGGTCCTTCCCTCTGGGGACCAGGCTCTGGTGCTCTAGTACCATGACCAGGCCAGGCACAGATGCCTGTCTGGTGACACCTCAGCTCCTTTTCCAGGTGCTAGTCTCCCCCTCACTTCCCAGAGAGCACCAGTCTCTTGCTCAGTCTCAATTGCTTACAAATACCAGCTATACGAATCTAAATGAGTTTCCTCTGTCATCTAACATGATCAAAATACCAAGGACCAGAATCAGTGTCTAGCCAAAGGCAGTGGAACGAGGCCAGCTGGGAGGAACTCTGAGGAAGTTCCACACGTCGGTTTTAGGGTCACATCTCAGCATCCGTGGGATAGGGGTTACTAGTCACTGACTTTTATACTGAGGACTCACCAATCCTCCTCCCCAGACTAGATGTGTCTCCTGAGTTCTAGACACACATGACCAAAGGCCTGATGGAAATACAGTTTTTGGTGTTCCATCGGCATCTCAAATTCTACAAAACTGGTCCCCCTTCCCCTTCCTTCTTAAACCCCATCTCCAATCTGTCACCTATTCCTCATCTCAGCAATGATATTACCATCTTCCAAGGTGCTTCCCAGCAGTAATCCTTGACTCCTCTTTAACATCCAGTTAATTACCAAATCTATTCTTCCTACCTCTAAATAGGTTGTGAAATTATCCACCTCTCTCCCTCCCCACTGCTGTTACCTTACCCCAGTCCATCACTTTGTGTCTACATCAACAAGGCCACAGTCTTGGTCCTTCTGTCCAATTATTTACACTGCAGCCTGAAATTCCTTTCTGAAATAAGTCTGGTGAGGTCACTCCAACTGCTTTAAATCCTTCCATGGCTCCCTAGTGCCCCCATTTAAAGTTAGAACTCCTGAATACCATGTATTACAGGCTCAATATGGCCCCATTTGCCCCTCCAGTCTGTTCTCTCCCAGCTTCTCTGTCCCCTTCTCTAGACACCAGCCACTCTCTAGCTCTTCGGTGGTGCCATACTCTCTTCTACCTCTAGTCTTTGCACCGTCTCTTCCCTACTCTTGGAACAATTTCTTTAGTCCCACCCTACGGTCTTTGATCTGGATAATGTTTATTTCTTTTGTATATCTAAGAGTGAAACCATTTTCTCAGAAAACCTTCTCTAACCAATCCCTAACCCCAGCCCAAATTCTGAGTTAGAAACCCCTCTGTATGTTCTCATAGCACTGTTTTAGAATTGCCTATTTACTTGTTCATCTATATCAGCAGACTCTAAATTACATGAGAACAGCAACTATGTCTTGTTCACCATTGTATCCCCAGCAACGAGCCTAATGCCTGGCACAGAGTGGGCCTGCAATGAATATTTATTAAATAAATTCACCTATTAGGAAATAAACACACACAAAAAAACTATCTTATATAATTTAAAATATCATGTGCTTATTATGGAAAACTTGTAAAATACAGAAAGCAATAGAAAAGAGTCTATCCATCTCACCACCTAATAAGGACCACTGTTATGCTGGCAGATTTCTCTCTCATATATATATATGTATGTATGTATCATTTTTATTGTTAAAATGACTCTATGTGTTCTATTAATTTATTTATTTTATTGTGGTAAAATACACAGAACATAAAACTTATCATTTTCACCATTCTAAAGTGCAGTGCAATGGCATTAATACATTCACATTATAGTGCAAACATCACTACTACCCATGTGCAGAACGTTTTCATTTTCCCAAACTGAAACTCTGTACCCGAAATGCTGATTTGAACTAAGTAAGAACACAAATATTTTTATTTGACTTTGTACCAAACTCGAAATAGCTTTCTTCCCCCTTCCAAATTAGCATTTCGATTTATTTTCCAGTGGTTTTGAGGCTGCCATGGCAGGTGCTGTCCTTCCTAGAGCTCCACTGTGCTGTCAACCATCTCAGTCAGGGGGAATTCCAGGTTCAAGTCTCACTTTACGCTGCAGTGCCTTGTGTCAGGGCCCACAGTACTTTTAGAGGCCCACAAAAATATCTTAATTCCTTTCAGATCCAAGGAAAACAAACTTCTAGGTCAAAGAGAATGTTTTAATATGTAGTATTAACATATTTGCCATTATAAAGATATCACATAAAATATAATTTTTAATATTGTTTTTGGAGGAGGAGGCCCATGAAGACAAATGTGCTTAGGTAGTGCATTAAAAGGTTCTCAGGTTATAAAATGGTGAGGAGGAATCACTGAAGTTTTTAATGCAGGAGACATATCCTTTGGTCAATTTCCACCTTTCAATTTTTTTTTCCTGAGTATAAACAAAGAAATCTTTCAAAAAGTTTATATAGTGCTATATATAGTGAAACAGAAGTGCATCTTAAAATTTAGTTTAGGTCATGTCTTTAATTCCTAGGATGTTAAGAAGTGTTGGCAATTAGTCCTCCAGGAAAAATTTTCCAACTTGAAATAAACTGACATGTAAACAAATAAATTGGGCCATTTCGAGAACTACACAGCATTGGTTTTATGTGTTTTAAGAGCATTCCTGGAAGCAGAGTGACCAGGATCACATGTGTGAGACTTCAGAAATGTACGGCAGATGTCCCTGTTACCTGGGTCTTCTGTTTTCTTAGCTTTGCTCCCTTAAATATCCCTGCTGAGGGAAGGGATTACAGATCATTCTAATTCCATTCTATAGCATTTGGTACCATTCTGAGCACAAATAGACACCTATTAGGAGCATTTTTGGCTTGACGGGATATGTATTTAGAATTGTTCCAATTAGAGGTGCTGTGATTGGAATTGTTCTAAGTCATTTGACAAATTCAAAAGGAGGATTTTCCCCGGGGGAGGGGGGTGCATTTGGGAGTGAGAGGAATGAGAGAGAAGAGAAGGAATCCTAAGTCATTTACGAACTTCTCCGGAAACATAAGTTTGAAGACAATCTTTTTTTTTTTGTCATCCACCAAAAAAAATTTTAATAGACTTTATTTTTTAGAGCAGTTTTAGGTTCACAGCAAAATTGAGCAGAAAGTACGGAGATTCCCCATATACCCCCTGCCCCAAACATGCATGGCCTCCCTCATTGTAAACATCCCCACCAGCGTGGTACACTTGTTACAATCGACAAGCCTACATCAGCACATCATTATCACCCAAAGTCTCCGTAGTTTACCTTAGGGTTTACTCTTGGTGTTGTACGTTGTATGGGTTTGGACAGCCCATATTGTACAATGACATGTATCCCCCATTACAGTATATCATAACAGAGTATTTTCAGTGGCCTAAAAGTCCTCTGTGCTCTGCCTATTCATCCCTCTCCACCTCCCGTTCCCACCCCCAACCCCCAGAAATCTTTTTACTGTCTCCATAGTTTTGGACAATCTATTTTTCAAAGAAGACAGAGTCATCTTTCTTAGTTTCCATTCTCTTACTGCTTTTCCTCCATCAATCATAAAAGATTACGAGGTTTTTTTTAAAGTACTGAACGCTGTCCTACTTGTCATGTTAAAATATAAGCTCTTGCCAGAATTAGAGCTCCAAGTTGCCTTCAGTTACCTAGAAGAACTACCCTGCAATTAGAAAGATTCAGATTGAGACAACTCCCCTTATAGCAATATGACTTCTCCCTCCAGGGCCTGCACAGTTAAGAAATAGGTCCACCAAGAGAAAAGGAAATAAAAATGACAAACTGGATTGTCTTGGAAAGCTTAATTACACTTTCTAGCCTGTCTTTGTAACAGTTCTCCAAAGCTTCGTACTTTGGCCAGAGGTTTGTCCCCTGCGTACTTGAGGTTTGGCGGCACCAAGACAGACTTCCTAATTTTTGATCCCAAGATGGAACCAACCTTTGAAGAGAGAAGTTACTGGCAATCTCAAGTCAACCAGGGTGAGACTTTTTAAAGATTAACTATATATTTTAACTAACTCAAGCCACTCATGAGAATACTTAGAGAAAAGTGTTATTGCTCACACCTAACAATTAATACGAGATTAAGGCCCCCCAACTGACCCGTGGCAGTACCTAAACAAAAGAAGGGAGCAGTGGGCAGGGTTTTCATTATGATGTTGTTGTGATGTGAGCCCTCACACACAAGGTGTGCTGGGCCTGAGAGTTAATTGTGTTAGAAATAGAACAGTGATTGTAGCTGAAGGACATTGCTGCTTAGAGGGAGCATGGGGGTAGGCCTGTGTCCGACTGAAGAGAGTGTTCACAGCTGAAGACAGTGACAGATTGAAGCATTCCGATATAAAATGTGAAAGAAAGATATGACAAGGGGACACAGAGATATACTCTGCTGCTAAGAATGGATTGTAAGACTTGACTTACTGGGCGGTGTTTCTCAAGCTTTCTTGACTACCCATAATCACCTGGGGTGAGGGAATATTTGGATTTCTGGACTCCGNTTTTTCAAAGAAGACACAGAGTCATCTTTCTTAGTTTCCATTCTCTTACTGCTTTTCCTCCATCAATCATAAAAGATTACGAGGTTTTTTTTAAAGTACTGAACGCTGTCCTACTTGTCATGTTAAAATATAAGCTCTTGCCAGAATTAGAGCTCCAAGTTGCCTTCAGTTACCTAGAAGAACTACCCTGCAATTAGAAAGATTCAGATTGAGACAACTCCCCTTATAGCAATATGACTTCTCCCTCCAGGGCCTGCACAGTTAAGAAATAGGTCCACCAAGAGAAAAGGAAATAAAAATGACAAACTGGATTGTCTTGGAAAGCTTAATTACACTTTCTAGCCTGTCTTTGTAACAGTTCTCCAAAGCTTCGTACTTTGGCCAGAGGTTTGTCCCCTGCGTACTTGAGGTTTGGCGGCACCAAGACAGACTTCCTAATTTTTGATCCCAAGATGGAACCAACCTTTGAAGAGAGAAGTTACTGGCAATCTCAAGTCAACCAGGGTGAGACTTTTTAAAGATTAACTATATATTTTAACTAACTCAAGCCACTCATGAGAATACTTAGAGAAAAGTGTTATTGCTCACACCTAACAATTAATACGAGATTAAGGCCCCCCAACTGACCCGTGGCAGTACCTAAACAAAAGAAGGGAGCAGTGGGCAGGGTTTTCATTATGATGTTGTTGTGATGTGAGCCCTCACACACAAGGTGTGCTGGGCCTGAGAGTTAATTGTGTTAGAAATAGAACAGTGATTGTAGCTGAAGGACATTGCTGCTTAGAGGGAGCATGGGGGTAGGCCTGTGTCCGACTGAAGAGAGTGTTCACAGCTGAAGACAGTGACAGATTGAAGCATTCCGATATAAAATGTGAAAGCAAGATATGACAAGGGGACACAGAGATATACTCTGCTGCTAAGAATGGATTGTAAGACTTGACTTACTGGGCGGTGGTTCTCAAGCTTTCTTGACTACCCATAATCACCTGGGGTGAGGGAATATTTGGACTTCTGGACTCCAAAGAGAGTGTTCACAGCTGAAGACAGTGACAGATTGAAGCATTCCGATATAAAATGTGAAAGAAAGATATGACAAGGGGACACAGAGATATACTCTGCTGCTAAGAATGGATTGTAAGACTTGACTTACTGGGCGGTGTTTCTCAAGCTTTCTTGACTACCCATAATCACCTGGGGTGAGGGAATATTTGGATTTCTGGACTCCGACCTTAGATTCCAATCTTAGCAAGCTTGTCAGGTGATTCTGGTATTGGAAGTCTTTAGGCTTCACCTGAGAAACCTGCCCTAGGAAGCCATAAGGATTTGTCCTGTGTCTTCCAAAAGTGCTAACAGATGTCAAATGGAAGTTAAGTCATTATTTCAACAATTGCTAAAAATATTGTATAATCAAATTGTAAACATGTATAATGTATATATTAATAAGCAATATTTGTTTCATATATTACATATTTTCCTTCTGTTTATTTTCTCTAATTAGGAAGTATTTAAAAGAGTTAATCAGTTATTGGGCCAAAATTGACAGAACAGAAGTAGAAGAAACAGGAAAAAGGCAGGAGGGTTCTCTTTGAATAGCAAGTTGAAGTAGTTTATGTTCAGACTTGGCCCTTTCCCACCAGTCATATGCATTCAAAAGGTCTCCGAAATTTAGACAGGAAATTCTCCTCTGCTCATCAGTTTTCTTCATACTGTGGAGTGGGGGAGGGGTGGGCACTGGGATTATCCAGGTTCCTCTGGAACGTTCTTCATGAGCACAGAGATGGAGGGAGGCACCGGTGGCCAGCCAGTCCCAGTGCGCGGCTTCCCAGAAAGGAAGTCGCTGGCTGCCCTGCTAGCCCTGCAGCAAGCACCCGGCGTCCCTGCTGCCTTGTGATAAAGAAAGTCTGCCCACAGCATCGTGGTGGATTTTTCCAAGTGTGCATGTTGTAGTCCCAAAAGCTTGGATGGTTCCCAATTTAAATGGAAAAAAGTCAACGATTCTTGTCCTACCTTCCATTATGTCAAGAGGAAATCACCACAAAGCAAATTTAGCCCATGAAAAACAAATTTCTGTGTATTTTGAAAGTGATCCTTAAGAGAACTGAACTGTGTTTTCATCATTAGGGTTCCCTGGTAATTTCAAGCTTCTGAGGAGCCCTCTGAATTGTTAAATAACTTGAAGTTATGTCCAGTGTATCTGTGTTCAGTGTATGTTCAATCTTTCTTAGGAAACCAGCCCTTCAGGGTTTTTTTTGTTTTTATTTTTGTTTTTGGTTTTTTTGGTGATTGGTTAGCCAGCAAATTTGACATGTGTAACAGAACATATCTTTCTCTGATCTTGTACCCAATAACAAGAAACTTAATAATCTTCCTTTAGTCACATAAGTAGCTAACTAAATACATATATGGCATTTCAACCTTCTCACTGTGAAAATAGATTTTCTAAATTATCTCTTCCACTTGCAGATATTTGCAAATCTGGATCCATCTCTTCTGATGTATATAAAAGGTTACAGCTGGAATGGCCCTTCCAGGAGCAATTGCTGCTCAGAGAACAATACCAGAAAAAGTTCAAGAACAGCACCTACTCAAGTAAGAGGTGAAAGGCACCTTGTAGGAGTTCCAGCCCCAAAAACATCTGGATAGGTTGGCATGGGCTTGAATCTAATAAGCCCTACAACAATGGTGTAAAGCAGTACAATACTCAAATGCTATCAAGAGTTAATGGGAAATCTTGAATCAAAACTTGTTTTTTCCTTTTTGTCTAACTTTGCCTACTAGCCACAGAGTGAAATAGAGAAATCAACCATTCTCAAACTAGCAGCGACCTTCACTGTTTTCAAGAACTAGGGAGACAACGAAGGCGTAAATACTCCTATATTCCTCATGAAAAAGTAAAATACAAAAGTATAAAGTGTAAAATGTGAAAATCCTTCACACCTCGTTGTCCATCCATCTCCCCTCCCTGAAGTGACTCCTAGTATGAGTTGATGTATATCATTAAGCAGGAGAATTCTGGGTCTTGCCAGTCTTGACTGCCAAGAAACTTTCTCTTTTTCTTTCCTCTATGGCTTTGCAAACACAGGACTAGCTCAACTAACCAGGAATTTATTTCCATTCATCAAAACAGTTTTCCAGTCTTCAAAATAGGATGACATTGTCACACAGGGCTTTAAAGCAAATGAAACAAGCAATCCTTTTTTTTTTTTTACTTCTCAAAATACATTGTACTTGATTTTAAAACAAGCAATCCTTATTTAACTATGAAATATATTTTTATCTGAAAGTTGGTGTTTTATGCCCAACCTACTTAGATGCACTAAAACTTTTTTTGCCTTTTGAAAAATAAATTGTCTTGAAGTTACTTTATTTGTGTTAGTCAGTGTTTTTTAAAGTACATTATTTAAAATAAATTATCTTTGTAAGATTTTACTGTACACTACTTGAATTTCAGTATCTCAGATGGATTTTTAATTTATATATATATATATTTATTTACATGTTACAGAAAAAATGCAATACATAAGAAATCAGAAAATAGCTTATGTGCTGATAGCTGATGTAGTCCTCTAAACTTATCTTTTACATTTTTAAGAGGAGGAAGGAACTACTCTGATACTTTAATACACATGATTTATTGTTGAATAGAATTTGGAATGGGGTAGGGCCATCTCAGATTCCATTAAAGTGACAGTACCAGAGACCTACAGTAGTAAGGTATCATTTGTAATAAATCATTATGATATACGCCTGCTGGAGGAAGGTTCCATGGTATTGGGTAATCAATGGATTCCCAAAATTTAATATTTTGGTCATTTTAAACATTATACCAGTTTATCTTCAATTTCCGAAAAATGTTTGCTACTGCACATGATCTTTCTGTTACTAAAATGGTAGGTTTCCAACGTCTTTGCCTCCCTCTAGGACTTGGACCTTCATAGTTTCTACACCAGGGGAAGGCCTTCCTTTGCTAACCATGCAACTGGGTTAATATAACTCCGGTCACCCTGTTGGCAATGTTAAGATGTATAACAAATACAGATATTTTATTTGTACTTGGAAACATTTGACTTCTGGTTTAAAATTTTCAACTTTAATCTGTATGTCTTGGAAACATAGATAGAAATCTACTATGTTTAGTCTGGACACCTACTCATTATACTGGCAAATAACTAAGAAGCCAACAGGTGTTTCCACACATTGTTCTGAATCCATGGCTGAAATTGGTAATGGCTGAGTGACTTGGAAAAATTCCTGGGATGGAGATAATCTAGATGACACATTTTAAAATGGCACTGACTCGTTCCCTTGCATTATATCATGTATGTTTACGTAAGGGTGCCCAGCGTGCAGCGTGGCACTGGGTACTGGGAGTGGAAGAATGGGATGATGAGTTGGAGATATATTAGCTCAGTAAATATAATTATTTTAATAAGGGAGTCCTCCTCTCTGCAGTCATACCCAGAATTACATCTCTAACATTGCTTCCTTTTCCTGCCCAAACAGGTTTACAATGTGAGTCCATGTTCTCATGACAAATGTTTTTGTCATCTTCTACTTAAGTGGAACACACGATCCAAGGGGACCTCTATTAGAAAACTTACCTATATCTTCTAGGTCACCTGCCTTAAGGTTGCTGCCAACTAACTAAGCAATTAATGTGTCCTTGCTGCAACAGCACATGGCAGTAAAGCACACTGGGGGCCGCATGTGAGCAGCAAGGGTCTAAAGCATTTTTGAACCATCACATCATTTCTCAACTATTGCACAGGACATATTTAAACTAAAAAGTATTCATTATTTATCTGAAGTTCAAATTTAACTAGGTATCCTATATTTTATTTGCTAAATCTGACAACTGTACCTGTGAATTTCCTGTGGTGCCCCAGTGTGCCTTGGCACATAGTTTGAAAACCATAGCCCTATAGCCCTAGGCCAATTTTTTAATGTAAAATTTTATTCATTTTAACATAATATATCATATACAGGAATTTTTCAAAAAGTTGCTCTAAACATAATTAAAATTACCAAAATATTTTGTAACTGAGTGTTTGAGTAGACATATTTAGATTATGAAGAATAGGGATTATGCTGATTAGTGAAGGTCTGGCCTACACATGCTGAGCACTGAGCCATAAACTGTGGTTTCCCCAATGCACTTGCATAGCTTGAACAAAACCTGAGTGCCAGACTAGAGCTTCTGGTACCTTCCATGGGATTCCATTCAATAGCTGAAGTACATGAAATCAGATTGATTTTTTTTAAGTTGCCTGTTCAGTTTTGTCGTCTCTTAGACATAATTATAGCCACTTACTGGGACTGGAATTCCTTCAGTTTAACAACAGAAAGAGCAAATCTGGAGGCATTCTTCACTGCAGTGCCAACCTAACCATTAAATTGCAACACTCTTCTTTTAGGAAGCTCAGTGGATATACTGTACACTTTTGCAAATTGCTCAGGACTGGACTTGATCTTTGGTCTAAATGCATTACTAAGAACAGCAGATTTGCAGTGGAACAGTTCTAATGCTCACTTGCTCCTGGACTACTGTTCTTCCAAGGGTTATAACATTTCTTGGGAACTAGGCAATGGTAAGTACCTCTGGGAACATTTCATTAATAAGGAGATTCCCCCACTGGCATTATTTGTTTCTATTTATGATATATATATATATATATAAAATGATATATATATATATATTTGATATATATATATATATTTGTTTCTATTTATGATATATATATATATATATATATATATATAATGACATTCTTTTTACTATTAGCAAATATATTTCTGCCTGGGCACATTCTTGCAAGTGCTCAGCAATGCAACTTTTGGAACTGCATATGTCAGAAAACTTTATATATCTCAGAATCTAATGCTAATCCCAGTTTATGTCACATTTGAGGTGGGTACAGCTAGTTGGACCCAGCAACCTTCTCAGGTTCCTTCAGATTTCCAGTCACTTTAAAACTGTATGTTTGGCAGGCTGGACGCAGCAAAACTGAGAAGTATGCAGTTTGCTTGTACTCTTTCCTTCCTTTCTCTGTTTCTCAACTTGTCAATTAATCTTAGCAACCCCATTCCAACTTCCATGCTCAAGCTGTCTAGAAGTTGCCAGTACAGAATACTACCAAGGTCAAGCTCCTGATTGTCTCCTTCTTCACTCCTTTTTGCAAGGAATTTATAAATTCTCACTAAAGAGTAATGATTAGTCACACTCATTCAAAACATATTTATAGTGCTTTTTCCACAGATTGGCCAATATCACTGAAGATAAAATGAGAAATCGGGTGGAGTAATATGATCAGTGCATTCTGTATATGCCAGGCACTCTTCTGAGCATTAAATGTCTTCCCCCTGCACAGACATTTTTTAAAAAAATAAATCAGGTTATTAAATACTGGATACACACTATTTTCCAAATATCCATTGGTTTATTTTCTCCATTATTAACTTCAATTTGTTTAATGCCCCCTCATACCTCAGTTATATAATTAAAATTTTTGCTTTTTTATAACCAGGGGGAGTTACTTTTCTTGACTTTGACTTTTATGTTTTTGTAATTTGAAAAATGTTTTTGTTGCATTTATATGCTGCTGTGTGTTTGCTTTTAAATAAAAATTTCTAGGTAAGTGATTATTTTGAGAATTGCTGTCTTTCAGAACCCAACAGCTTCCGGAAGAAGGCTGGTATTTTCATTGATGGACTGCAGTTAGGAGAAGATTTTACTGAGTTGCATAAACTTCTAGGAAAGTCCACTTTCAAAAATTCAAAACTTTATGGTCCTGATGTTGGTCAGCCTCGAGGAAAGACTGTTGAGATGCTGAGGAGGTAAGAGCTAGAGGACACAGATACACTTTTCTTAAGGATAACTGTTCCTCTCTCATGGAGAATCCTCAATAGTCTGCATGTTACCAAACAATTTGCTGCCTGACTAGATGATTTATCAAAAGAAATATTGACTGTCTCAGAGTACCAAGGATTCTGGGACAAATGGCACATATCATAAAATTTGTTATCAGGATTTGGAAATTTGTGTTTATTTGATCCTAACAGTAACCAGCCATTTCTAGGAAATAAAATCCTTGTCCATATCTTGTGCATACATAGTAAGTGCTAATGTGATAGAATTTTTGTTCTAGTTTCTTGCAGGCTGGTGGAGAAGTGATTGATTCAGTTACATGGCATCAGTAAGTATGTCTCCTATTCTTAATTCTAGGAAAGTAATGCTAGCTTTACTTATTATGTAGTTTTCAAAAAATTATTCCCATTTAACTGCTCATTCACTTTGTAGTTCAAATAAGAAATAGTGTCTCAAGCAGCACTGTACTAGAATTTTAATGTTAACAAAAAAACATTAAAAGTTATTTTAAATAATGTGATGGTTATAAAATCAAGGCACACTATCAATTAGCCCATGGAACATACTAGGTCACTTCAAAAAGATCGTGGAAAAGTAGAATTAAAAGATAATGGCTCTGGGGCCGGCCCGGTGGCGCACTGCTACAGTGCACCGCTTGGGAGCGCAGCGGCACTCCCGCCGTGGGTTCGGATCCCACATACAGACCGGCCGCTCACTGGCTGAGCGAGGTGCGGGCGCGGCACCGAGG